GTGTTTCAGTTTTTTTGTTTTTTGGTTTTTTTTTTTTAGCAAATAAAAGAAGAAATATATTTATTTTACTTTTTTAAGTGCATCTAAAAAGTACCCAAAATTTTTTTTTTAATATATTAAATTTTTTTTATTAAAGACACAAAAATATGAAAAATAAAATACACAAAAGCTTAAAAAACTGTATTTGAAAATTCAAAACCAAACAGAAAAAAATGAGTTTCAGTGTTGACAGTGATCCTAATCCAATCTTATCACTAAGTAGAACTTGAATTTTTCAATATGTTGTCTTTCCATATATATATATATATATTTTTTTGATGTGTGTAAATAGTTTTCATTAGCCTTATTCGAGTTTAAGTTTTTTTAAGTTTTTCTTCAATTGAAATTTTTTCCGCAATGCATTCTTTAAGCTTACAAAGCTCGTGAAAAAAAAAACATAGGAAAAAGAAATAAAAATTGGTACCAAAGTCCAACACCATTAATTAACTTAAGTTTCGTTTGACATTGGCTACAGTAGTCAACTTTTTTATGTTGAGACTTTTTAAGCTTGGTTTTTTTAGCTTCGTTTGATTTTTGTTTTTGGACTTTTTTGACTTTTGTGAGAGAAAAAATATAATGATTATGATTTAGATATAATATTTTGTCTTATTAACTTATATAACTTATTTATCTTTTTATACTTTTTTTTAACTCTAAAATATTTAGCAAACGAGAACTTAGTCTATGATCAAACTAAATTAAACATGGTTAAAACTAACCCCAAGTGTGAATTCATATTATATATTAAAAACAATGAGATGCTGTCCATGAATAATCTTTATGCACATCTTTCAAAAGATATTATTGAGTCTTTGTCAATCTTCATTTGAGTCTTCCACGTGATTTGTAGACTCGATCTTGAAAACAAATTGTCAACACAAAAATAAAATAAAAAAAAAATTCAAAAAGTACTTAGCCATTTTTGCTCACACATGTTATTGAATGAGTTCCACCCAATTATTATAATCAAGAGAATACCTAGACATTTTTGCTCAGACATGTTATCGAATGAATTTCATCCAATTTTGACAGACTTTTTTCTTTTCTTTTCTTTTTTCAGATAGGATAAAAACCAAAGCAGAGACCAAATGAATTTACAGAAGCTGCATCTAGCAGGACATAACGGGACACGGAGCACGGAACTTCTTCCATCCAAACATGCAAACCAGTTGCGAAAATGGCCAGTCTCAGACTTACTTACGTGAATCTAAGCAAAGCAACAATCAATTTCTGTAAATTTAGACCTATTATATGCAAGGAAAAATTAGTGAAAAAATTATTTCTAGGGATGCGTATACGACATTAGTTTCAAGAATTATTCTGTTTTTGGTTATAAAGATGTGATTAATGAAATTGTTTAGTGAGAATGACAAATTATATCGTTTTGAAGAATAATTTTTTTTCATGTTTATCCATACTTGCCGAAAAAGTCACCGAAAGTGATTGGCAGCAGTTGGTGGTGGTGGTGATATGAACAATAGATAAATTATGTGAATAGGTAGATGACACATGGACAAATAAGTGGATGACATATGAACAGATAGGTGACACGTGAACAAATGGATGACGTGAATAAAAAGATATAATAGTATTAGATTTATGACTCTAGTGACCTGTGTAAAACAAATAATAATAATAATAATTTAACCTATGTATTTCTTAAAATATATTAAATCTTACATGCATATTTATTGGGTGAATTCATACAAGAGGCGGAAAAAACAGTGAAATAAATTCACCTATAAAGCATAGCCCTCTTAACGAGCTCTGAAACATGTGAAATTTATATATCTATTTATTAGAAGTCAAAAAATTCATCACTATTATTTATAATAATAAAAATATCACTGTCACACTACTTTATATGACTTTATATTTATATATATATATATATATATATATCATCTATATT